AAGTGGCTTCTGGGGGGGGGTTGAGGAGGCCAAATCTAAAGCAAACACGTCAACACAAAGGAGCTCCACCTTTGAGCTCGGAGCCGATGTGCACTGTTTGTTTCTTTTTTCCCCCGTTCCGAGTCAATTATCGGGCCTCTCCCTAACCCTCGTTCATAAAACAACAACCCTAATCTGGTGCTCCGCCAAGAAAAAAAAAAGAAAAAAAAAGGGCCTTTATGGCGCTCGGGCCAATTCGCTCGCTGCTATCTGACACACACCTGCCGGTTCCATCCCCTCACTCACCCTGACCTACATAGCTGCACACACTCACACACACACACACACACACACACACACACACACACACACACACACACTCGCCGCGTTCTTTCTTAGATCCCAAAACAATGTCAAAGCTTAATGCTTTTCCACTTCCTGTCCTGGTACTGTTTTTGAAATAAAGGAGTAAAAAGTCAATCACATGACCGGATTGTCGTCTCATCCTCTCAACTGTAACTTGATTATTGATTCATTTGAGGAGAAAACGGTCGAGAATGTAAATAATTGAAGTTTAGCCACATGAATCCATCTTTAGTTTTTTCTTTTTTGACTTAAAACTGAATATAAACCATTTATGATTCCCCCCATAAGACTTATATTGTGACTGCAAAACTTTCGGAACCCCAACTCCATTGTTCCTGACACTGAGAGCAGAAAAATAGAAAAAAGATGAGCAGAAACACATATCAAAATGCAGCATGAAAATAAATTGTCATTATGAAAGATGAATATGAGGATTTGTGTGTTCTTTGGCTATTCAAACTTGGGGCCAAATGTGACCAGACGTGGACACGAGTAGCTCCCAAATACCTCTAAAGCTTTGGGAAAGCCCGAGAATATTTGTTGTTGTTGTTGTAAAAGAATGGAGGACTGAGGAATCAATTTGATAGTTTTTCTTTTGCAAAATGCTAAATGAGAATCCACATCTGACAGCAAAAAATGAATAACTAAAAATCTGGCTCTGGAGAGGTGGAGCTCTGTGAAAGAGTCGGAGGAAAAGCCCTTTTTAATTCCAAAAATTTGAGTTTTACGCAGTATTGCAATGACTAAGAGAACTTAATTTGTGGAAGTAAAGGGGCCACTATCTGGAGATAAGCTGGTGGGGATCTGGAATACTCAGCAGATACTCCTACTCCTGCAGGTAGCAGGAAAAAAGCTCCATGGCTGCTCAAAAGCCGGTGTTGCAATGTGTGACAAAGGCGGGCGTTGAGCAACACGCTGTTGCTTCAGTTCCTTCTCCACGTTAGATTGGAAGTGTTAAGCGGAACCTGGAAGAGGGAGAAAAATGTTGGTGAAAAACATTCGTTTTTCATCTCCACTGGTAGAAATATTGATCGGATCACCCAAAGCTTTTGCATCACACTGAACATTTCTTTTCTTTTTTTCAACCCCTTGTTGGGTTTAGCATTATGACAACAGAATTGTAATTGTACTTTTGCTTTGCCAAGGGAGGCCTGTCAGGGTGAGAAGCCTCCCTTGATCATCCAATACAGCTTTATTATTTATTTAAGCTTTATTTTTGTTACAGAAGTTAGATGGTTGATGCCAAACCTGACCGTGGGATAGGGAAAGAGAACAAAGGATTAAATTAAAAAAGGATCATAATAGAGAAAAGGTAACAATAACCTGCGCAGAAAATAAGAGAGATCCCTAAAACAGGAAGAGAGAAAAAAAATAAATAAAAAAAAGACAACAAAACGCGCTGAACATTTCAAACATTCGCAGAA